TTCTAAAAATAAGTTAACAATTTAAGTGTCTTCCGCAAATGACGTCATGGGAATGCCTTAAGAGTGGGCCTCCTGTTGTGAATACAAGAGGAAAGAGCGCTAAAGATTACTAGCACTTATAGATCTATAAATGCAAATACATGTATAGATCTAGATCAATAATATAAAGGTAGAGCACAGGGTATGGTGTGGGTTTAAGGTCCGATTCAACGCTGTGAGCTGGTTGTGTTAGAGGCGGGACCTCCGACTGAACGCCCGTGTTCCATTATAATTAATCTATTATTATTCTTGAGCGTATAAGTTCTTGTTTTGGTATTTGTTTAATGTATGACTCTATAATGATAGAGGGAGGACAAAAGCAGTAAGCCATGCTAGTTCCCCAAGACGAACTTTGGTAATGAATTGTTTGTAAGATTAAGAACACTGTGGGGAAGGCACCGGTTTTCCTCATATAAATAAACGTTTACCAAAACAAAATCAGTCCTTTGTCAGTGCACAATGCCTATCAATCATGTCCAGCACCCCTTCTTATCAAGGGCAAGGCGATGGGTGATTTATATGATTGCAGGTGAGATAATTTGATTGGAAAGCCAACTGAAGCGCTAAAAAAAGGAAATGTTCTGTGTGAGGAACATTTTGAGATATCTTGCTCAACACCCACCTCTTCCACTGCTCTCCGTGCCAGGAAGAGGCTTAAAATGACCCGTTGTAACTATATTCAACGTCCCAAATCCTCCCTCTAATATGACTTCTAAAAGATCCCCCCCCCCTCTATGGATAATGACTGAAGTTCGTGTGCCAGAGGACACACACATTGACTCTGAGAAGTCTGCAACAGAGCAAACGGCTGTATTGCAGCAAAGATTTGCAGAACGGTACTCGTGGCGTCTCTAAAAAGAAACTCGATAGATAGCAGCAAACAAGACCTAGCTCCACTAGGACCATGGGAATACTAGCAATGATGAATGTTCATTGGAAACAAATCGCAATACACTGTCCAAGTTCTTGTCTCCAGCAGCTCTGGAATTTTTCATGTCACAAGTGAGGCTATCCAAGGTCTGTATTAAAGGTCGCAGGTGGAACATTTCTGACAAATATTTGGCGTTGGCACTCTATCATGTAGCACACTAAACATATTTCGTACTGCAGAAGCTCATCCTATTGCCACCCCTCCCCCGGACATTGTGCATAGTAATGAAAAGTACCCACAGTCTGGCTAGAGTAGAAAATTTCTTGAAATTGTTTTTTTAAAAGAGTTGAAGACATAACATTTCAAGAACGCATATGCAGTGTTGTTGGATGGGATGGCGCTAAAGTCCACTCTGCAATATAATCAAACCGATGATGAAGTGGAGGGCTTTGAGGGCCATGGCCCACCTGGATGGACACAGAAGCCAACAAAGCAAGCTGCTCTCCTCTTTGTGGTACTAAAAAGGCATCTGAAAAAACTCCCAACAGATGTATTATGAGATAGACAAAGAGATACACACACACACACACACACACACACA